CGGACGCTGCGGAGCCCCCTCCTCCGGCCCCGCCCACCCCGCTGTGCAGGCTGCGGTGGGTTTGTCCTCACCGCCTCCGGTTGGGGTCCTGTTTTACTTCGCCCACGGTAGGCGTCATGGATGTGGCACCATTTGGATCTTAACTCTCCCTCCCGGGGTTTGCACTTCACTTCTTAATCATCATTGTTGTTATTTGTAGGGATGGTCGTAATTTAATAATGAAGGAGAGAGGATAAAACCTTAAAATTCTCCTCTGCCCACCTTGTGCGTGGTTTTTTTTAACATTTAAAAAATATATGTCTTTATTGATTTCAGAGAGGAAGGGAGAGAGAAAGGGAGATAGAAACATCAGTGTTGAGAGAATCATTGATTGGCTGCCTCCTACATGTCCCCTACTAGGGGATCAAGTCCGAAACCTAGGCATGTGCCCTTGACCAGAATCGAACCTGGGACCCTTCAGTCTGCAGGCTGACGCTCTATCCACTGAGCCAAGCCAGCTAGGGCCCACCTTGTTTTTTTGAGGGGTGGAGTGGGTATAAGGTCTGTGTAATTTGTTCCTCTGTTCATTCCACAAACGTTCACTGAGCACCGGGCTGATGCCCAGCGCTATGCTACACAGTGGGGTATGGTCATGGGGATAGGAAGGGAGGTGGACAGACTCATCCATATCCTACTGGGCTTACCCACTGACCGACCAGCTGGCAAAGGAGTTAGCAGCCACCGGACACTCCAACTGACATTAAGCCACTATACAATTAATTGGGATAAGAGCTACAAAGGAGACCTAAGGGCTATCAATGTGTGTTACAGGAGGGCTGTGTGTGGAGGGAGAGAATTTTTGGAGAAAACGACATCTCAGGTGAGTTCTGAAAGATGAATAGGCATTAACTAGGCTGCATGGAGGTGAAGAGTGATATATACTGAAGAAGAGCTTTTTCCAGGACTCTGAGGTACAGTGGATGTGGAACAAGGGACAAGTCCGTGGCAGGCTGTAATTGGCAGATGTTCTCCCTGTCTTGGCATCTTCCCCCCTACCGTCTAATTTCTATACAGCAGCCAAAATGACCTTAAAAATATAAATCTGATCCTGTCACTTCCCTGCACCAAACTCTCCAGTGAGTTTCCATCTTAGAACAAAATTCAGACTCCTTATTGTGGCCACCAAGGCCTACAGAGTCTGGCTCCAAACTTTCCTTTCTAAACTCACTTCTTAAAATTAGCCCCATCACTGGTTCTATCCAGCACTCCCTACCCCTTTATTTTCCTTCATAGTTTTCATGACCATGTGGAATTCTCTCTCTCTCTCTCTCTCTCTCGCTCTCTCTCTCTCTCTCTCTCTCCCAGCCACCAAGACAGGAACTTTATCATCTTATTTATTGTGTCCCCATGATTTAGAACAGTGCCTGGCATATAGTAGATGCCCAGTTATTATTTGTTGGATGTGTGAATTGGGGAGCACTTAGCAAGGGTGCCTAACCCAGTCAGGAGGTATCAGGAAAATGGTACTGATGGCAGGGATACGAAGGCTGGGGCCTTAATAATTAAAAAAGAAAAAGAGTTATTCATTTTCTTCAAGGGAAGAGAAGAGAGTACTCTGGCAGGGAGGAAAATAGAGGCAAAATGGAATGCAGCCTGTCACGGGAAATGGGATTGGAGAGGTGAGAAATGAGGGTGGAACAAAGATCAGGCAAACCCGCTTAAAGGTAGTGTGGTGCCATTAAAGGATTTGAGGAGGGAGGGTGGTAACTTCAGAATTGGTATTTTATTTAGATCATCCAGTTCTTTGAGAATGGATTGGAGGAGGAAAGTGGTGGTTACAAGATCAAGATGTTTCTGTAGTCTAGGAGAGAAATAATGTGGAGAAAGGTACAAGGAGAGGATGTAGGTTAAAATAAAATAAGTTTGTCAAGTTGAAAAAAAAAAAGAGCCCCAGGTCCTGGGGGAAGGGGTTCCATGTGTGGGGAAAGGGCACAGGAAGGACAGGGTTGGCTGGGGGAGGTGACCGCATCATGGTCCTGTGAGGTGTGTGAGACACCGAGGAAAGAGCTGAGCTCAGAGTCATGTCACACAGTCACCCTAGGAGGAAGGTTGGGATTGGAGGTGGATTTTTTAAAAATACATATTTTATTGATTTTTTTACAGAGAGGAACGGAGAGTTAGAAACATTGCTGAGAGAGAAACGTCGATCAGCTGCCTCCTGCACACCCCCAACTGGGGATGTGCCCGCAACCAAGATACATGCCCTTGACCGGAATCGAACCTGGGACCTTTCAATTCACAGGCCGAGGCTCTATCCACTGAGCCAAACCGGTTGTTAGGGTTGGAGGTGGATTTTTTTTACACCAAAGGCAACTAGAAGGTAATCAAAGCCATGGGGCGTCTCTTAGGAAAGATGACGCATAAGAAAAGGGTAGGACAAAACCCCAAGGAACACCCGCAGATAGAAAGGGGAAACCCTCAAAGGAGAAGCAGTCAGAAAGGTGGGAGACTTCGCGCCAGCAGAGTGTGGCGTCCTGGAAGCAAAGGAGATGACTTCAGGAAGGGAGGCGTCAAGGCCAGAGTTTTGGAGATGAGGAAACTGCAGCTGGAAAAAGTCAGGTAACTTGCCAATACCTCCGATCTAGTGCGTAATGAAGCAAGGATTTAAGTCCTGTGTAGTCACTCGTGTCCATGCTAAAACACCTGTTCATGTTGCCGCTCCTTAAGGCAGGGGTGGGGAACCTTTTTTCTGCCAAGAGCCATCTGGATGTTTATAACATCATTCGAGGGCCATACGTAATTATTAAATTAAAAATTAGCCTGCTATATTTGGTCAAACATTTAATTAACTCACCCCTCATGCCTTGGCAGGGATCAAATGATTTCACGGGCCTTATACAGCCCATAGGCCCAATGTTCCCCACCCCTGCCTTAAGGGGACAAGAGAAATGGTGGCAGCTAGAGGAAACAAGGTGGGAGGTGGA